TTTAATTAGAAAACTGCTGGGGAAGGCAGTGGTAAAAAGTCAAGTTCCGGAAACTCAGGAAAAGGTGGAGGCCAGCTGCGATGCCCAAAATGCGGTGATTTATGCACACACGTGGAGACTTTTGTCTGTAAGTTCTACAAGACATATCTTCTGACTTTCTCAGTTTTTGTAAAAAAAAAAAAAAAAAGAACTGCATTATTTGCTTAAAGTGCTAACACTTAATCCATCCTGCATGTCAGTCATTTTGCAAAGGAGTTTAGATATCGATTCTTGAATGCTGTGGAAATAAGTACCATTCCACTTAACATCCAGAGTTTGGAATAACAACTATGGTACTAACAACACAGCTACATATTACTGTTTACAGAAACCATGTCCTTGTGCTGTTTTGGTCCTTCTCTTTTATTTGCTGATTCAGCATGTCCTAATCAAAGAAATTAATGGAGGGTAAATACTACAGCATGTTTCTCAGCTGTATAATAATCAGCCATCTGATCTTCTTAAAAGCTGTCAATGCAACCTGCATTAGAAGCCCTGATATTAGGTAGTCTTTATAATATGCTTGAATCTTGATCTCTTAACTCTTTTTTTTTCTTTCTTGCTAACTTCAGAGTGATTTTGTTCTACATGTAGCATATCAGCTTTGTGTGTGATATTCTGCAAAGGGTAGAGGCGTGGTTATTAGCCCTAGTTACTGGTGTCTTTGCATTAATTGCTACATGGCAGTTTCCCTCCAAACAAAGGGTGGGACCTGTATTTCATGTTCCAAAATCGTGCTTTATCACTGTCGACTGCTTACTCACCAATCTTTCAACATGACAAGGAAAAAAACCCTTTATGTGATTTCTTTTCTGGTATCTCAAGTGGCATTATAAATCTATGTTTATGTCCTCCTGGCAGCTAAGATTGTTGGAAATAGATAGGTTCATGTTTTAGAAACTGATTATCTGCTAGAACTAGTTTTTTTTTTTAACACGGGACTTTAAGCTACATTTCAAGGAAACGAATGTTAATGTTTTTTATTTACTTATATTCTTACCTTCGTAAGAGTTCAGGGGACAAATGAAAGTTTATCTCATAGCCGCTTTCTGAAGTAGATTAGTTTGTGAACAAGGCAGCAGTTTTGCTAAAGTCCTCTGACTGATATGGTATATGAAAAATGTTAAAGCACACCAGATTTTCTTAAAAGCATGTCATAAATATTAACAGTAATCCAAGCAACAAAAAAACTGCTGTGTTAAGCAAAGCCACCTAAATGGTTTGAATAGAAGGCTATGGTGAACTCTTTATCAAGAAGCAAGTAATAAAGAACATTTTTAGACAAGCGCTTGTACCTGAATGAGATCTCCTGGTGCATATCAGCAGTAACCCAAACTCCATACTAGTTAATCACTACCATTGACAGGCAGAATTTCAGGGTTAGCAAGCTTTGTGCAGCATTGTGGTGTAATACACAGTTTCCAGCAGAGATCTGTGGCCTTTGTTTTTGCCATACTCTTTTAGAATAAGATTCGAAAAATTCATGTGGACAATGGCTATTGAAGGACCATTTTTTCTCACATCAGCGTGTTCAGTTAGAAAATAAACCCCATACACCAATACCCATGGTTCTTAAATGAATAAATAAAATTGAATTTTACTTAGAAAGTAGAATAGATTTGGTGTTCTATATTATGCTTGATTTCATGTCTAAATTACCTCAAAATAGTTCCCTTATACCCCTCTCATTTACAGGAAATATCCGGTATGCAAAATTAATTATTTAACCATACAGTGCACCAGATTATATAATCAGTAATCACATAAGATATATCTAACACTTGAAGCATTAAAAACAAGTAAAGAATTCCAAATGTCACACCAAAATTCCATTAATGTTTACCGCAAACTGTTCTAGTCTTCCAAATGTGTTAAAGATCCTATCAAAATTTAGGTTTGGTCAATTTCCCATAGAAGAGGCATCCTAAAGCCATTAAATGACATAGTGCCAAAGCTGCAATGCTACTGAGGAACTTTTAACTTTTAAGTTCAATCTCAAGATGAGCTGGAGAGTAAAGTCCTTATGATTCTTGTGAGTTTATAATGAGTTATAATGGAGATGGTCCACAAATACTTAGATCTTTAAAAGTTAAACTCAGGTCTTGCATTGAACTTAAAAACATTTAGAAAGGCAGTGAAAATTCTGGATCAAAAGTTGAATGTTCTGATTTATAAGCACCAGGAAAAAAAAGCCTGAGGTTGCCTCATTAGGTCCAACTGAAGATTCCAAACTTTTTGGGAATTGTTTAAAATATTTGGAAATCATGCCTTAAGATAACTTTAAACAATGGGAAAGGGAGTATTTGTCTCAACCACCACTCAGAACAATGGTAATTGATCCTGAGAATTGCTGTACATTCATTCTTAAGTCTATGTAAATATATATGATGTCATCCCTTTGTCTAAGAATGTGCATGGCACAGTAGGAATAAATATACTGCAATCACAATGTGCATAGTTTTCAAGTAGATGAAAAGCCCATTTTCTGGGCGATTGTTTTCAAAAATCTTGTGAAAGAACATAGGTATCAAACAGCAGTTTTCATGCGACTGATCTCTTATGTGCAGAAAGTCAGGCAGTGCTACGTGGCCTGGGGCTTTTCAGGAGAAACTTGAATTGGGACTTGCATGGCTGGAATTTAGTCTATCATTAGAAGTTTGTGAAATTGACTCCAGGACGTTTTTTCATTTGAAAAAGGAGAGGGAGGCTTATAGTAACAAAAATCAGTGCTTTTAACATCAAACCTTTCAAACTGACAGGGGCCCTCTGTGGACCAAGGTCTATTCTCCTCCTTCCTATCCTTATTTTATTTATGTATTCATTCTGTAAGCACTGTATAAAACTGACTGTTTTAACTTGCCTGGTTGGAAAACCAGCCGTTGCCAAGCAGGTTCTGATTCTACTTTTTTGCAGCTTCCACCCGCTTTGTGAAATGTGAAAAATGCCACCATTTCTTCGTTGTGTTGTCAGAAGCCGACTCCAAGAAAAGCATCCTTAAAGAGCCAGAGACAGCGGCAGAAGCTGTAAAATTGGCCTTCCAACAGAAGCCACCACCTCCACCCAAGAAGGTAAGTCAGTTAACCTTAGCTGAGGGGACGTCACCTCTTTCATAGTGTGTGCTTTTTTAATTTAAATGGATCATCTAAATTTTCCTAGCCTATGGCTGGCTGTCCATCCTCCTTAGTTGGGCCCTTAATCTACCATCTTTTGTGAAATCATACTACCCTTTCATCTAGTCCAAGAGTTTTGGTCGCCACAATGTAAAAAACACGTCGAGACTCTACAAAGAGTGCAGAGAAGATCAACAGAGATGATTAGGGGACTGGAGGTTAAAACATACAAAGAATGGTTGCTGGAATTGAGTATGTCTAGTGAAAAGAAGGACTAGAGGTGACATGATAGCAACGTTCCAATATCTACCACAAGACAGCTGAAGGCCGGACAAGAAGCAGTAGATGGGAATTAATCAAGGAGAGAACAAACCTAGAACTAAGGAGAAATTTCCTGACAGTGAGATCAATTAACCAGTGGAACAGCTTGCCTCCAGAAGTTGTGGGTGCTCCATCACTGGAGGTTTTGAAGAAGAGATTGGACTGCCATTTGTCTGGAATAGTGTAGTGCAGGGGTGCCAAACTCATGTCATCATGCAATCGTCACGTGACATATCGGGACTTTTTTGCCACCCCTAAACCGAGCATGAGCGTGGCCAGTGTGTGATGTACCCGGCTCACGGGCCAGGAGTTTGACAGCCCTGAGATAGTGTCTGCTGCTCGAGCAGGGGGTTGGACTAGAACACTTCCAGGGTCCCTTCCAACTCTATTATTCTGCCCTGTTTTACAGTTATATTTTATGTGACACTTCACGTCCATCCCAAAATTTGTTTCCATTCCTCATGTTTTCCAAGACCCGTTTAAAGTACTGGGGCCATCTCACGTATTCTCGATTTTTCCAAGAATTACACTTTTAAAGAACAAGAAAAGCCTCTTGGTTTCCAAAAAGATCTTGTTAGCTTCCCTAGTTTTGTAGGCCCCCTATAGCTTCCCTGAAATATTTTAAGCACTAGAGCTGTGACAGCTAACCTTTTTGCTGTAGTGTGGCAAAAGCATGTGCGCACCTGCGCGACAGCATGTGCGCGTCCAGACCCATAATGTAATGCTCACGTGCGGCACCCCACTGCGCATCCACATGCACCCCACGCATGTGCGGCACAGACCTAAAAATCAGCTGGCCGGCAGGAGGTACTGGGGCGACGTCTCACATGCCCACCGAGAGGGCTCTGCGGTACTACCTGTGGCACATGCTCCATAGGTTTGCCATCACAACACTATAGTTTTGAAAAACTTTAGAAAAAGAGTCTTTGCTGCAGTTGCCACCTGAGAGCTTTCCCATCATTAAAAAAACAACAACCCTCTGCATTGTCCACTCCCCACCCCAAAGCAATGGGGCAGACAAAGAATCTTAAAAGCTCACAGTATTAAAAACAGTTTGCAGAGGGGAAAAAAAACCTCTTGAATCTTAACTAGCTGAAAGGTAAACAACAGTCCTGAAGCCTTAGCAGTCAGGCCTCCCCTCCCCCTCTGACCCTGGATTTTTATTCTTTCTCTCTATTGAATGAAGCCCCTTGTGTCGTTGAGGATGTGTTGGCTTTTTTCTGCTAGATTTATAACTACCTCGACAAGTACGTTGTTGGTCAGTGTTTCGCAAAGAAGGTGCTTTCGGTTGCCGTGTACAATCACTACAAGAGAATCTACAACAATATCCCTGCTAATCTGAGGCAACAAGCCGAAGTTGAAAAACAGGCTTCTCTGACTCCAAGAGGTTGGTAGAGCATTTTACGTTGTGTTCAGGGACAGCTTGGCACAAACTTTCCTCCTGTGGTCTACGTGAAAATGACTGTTTAAAAAAAATGCAGAGGGTGTTGGTGTTAGTAGCTCACTTAACACAAGGAGCGGATAAGTGGTACTTGTTATTTTCTCCTTTTTAATTTTTTTTTTTTTGCAAATTAGCCCTTAATAGTAAAAGTATTATCCCCCTGATTAGCCCTAAGTCTTCCTTAATAACTTAAAATAAATAAAAAATAAAGCTGAAAAAAGGTAGAAAACACATATCTAAAAGAGGCCACAGAAAAGAAAATGAAGGAAGATATATATATTCGAAATAAATCAAATTGAAATACAGTTTTTTGAGGTAAAAAATGGAAGAATGCAATGAGAGCAGACCAAAAATTTTTACTGTCTTCTCCTAGAGCAGTTTTTCTTTCCCGTTATTAAAATATTTTAAAAGCTGCTTTAAATACCTGTTTTAGTTACATATTCTCTGTACTTTCAACACATAGGAACTAACAGCTGAAATTCTTTCTGGTGTTTGCAAATAAATTCACATAAGGAATTTATGAATCCCAAATGCCAAATATTCTCTTAATGGATAAGCAGTTTAGATACCTTTGATTCTGCTGTAAGCAGTAATAAAAACTGTATAGGGCCAAAGCCAACAGTTATTTTCAGCATGGCATACATACTATTATTAGCAAATTTTAAAAAAACATTAATACAAATCATCTTTCCGTCCACAAGGACAGACAAAAATGCAGTATTACTATTTTAAAAATTCATGGAAATGTTGCAGCCATCACGAGAGTAGGTGACTGTATTATTAAGGGGTGTAGTTTAATCAAAACATTTGATTTCCTATAATTATGCTGATATTAAAAGGGGGCATTAGGGATTTGCTATATTATAAGAGTAGAACTACTAAGTTCTTTAGTCTTCAATATGAAGGCTTCTTTGGCACTATATGATACAGAAATATTTTCCCATTTTTATCCCATATTTTCTCATTTTTATCCCATGTGACTGCAATATTGGGAGGAAATCCTATTGATTTCAGCAGAACTTTCTTTCTGGCTAGATGTTTATCACAGGTAGTTCTTGACTTACGACCAAATTGAACCCAAAATTGTTGATTAGCGAGACAGGTGTTAAGTGAGTTTTGCCCTGTTCTACACCTTCCTTGCCATAGTTGTTAAGTGAATCACTGCAGTTGTTAAGTTGGTAACATGATTGTTAAATAAATCTGGCTTCCCTACTAACTTTGCTTGTCACAAGTTCGCAAAAGGTAAATCCCATGACTGCGGGACACTGCAACCATCATAAATACGAACCAGTTGCCAAGCATCCAAATTTTGATCGCATGACCATGGATTGTAAGTGTGAAAATGGTCATAAGTCACATTTATCGGTGCTGTTGTAACTTCGAATGGTCACTAAATGAATGGTTGTAAATTGAGGGCTACCTGTACGCAATAAAACCTGTACGCAATAAAACGCTGCAGAATTTGTTTTTTTTCCTTTTATTGCCATGTGAAAACCATATATGCTTGTATTAGCAAGTTGTCTGTGTCATTTATAAGCTGCATTATAAAATTGTAAATATTTCACTGGTGAGTGTATGTGTGTGGGTGAGCATGTCTTTTCCTTGCTGTTAGTGATGTCCGTTGATCCATAAACCTGTATTCAGAAGAGGGCAAGAGGTGAAGAAAATGTAGTGCTTTTTAATATATCTCTATCTCTTTCTCCATCATATTACTATTTTCATCCTGTCTCTTAGAATTAGAGATAAGAAGACGGGAGGATGAGTACAGATTTACAAGTAAGTGGTCTCTCCTCATGGCCTCCTCTGCAATATCTCCCCCCCCCCTATTTTAACCACAAGTAGCATTTAAACTGCAGCTGTGAAGAAACATTACAACTCCATCGTGTGTTCACTTTTCAACCAGACACCTGAGCCTCATTTTCGCTGTGAAGGTGAATTTGTGTCTCACCTTTGCCATTTTTAGCTCACAGGTGATGAAAGGGCATTGATGGGAAGGAAGGAAGGAAGGAAGGAAGGAAGGAAGGAAGGAAGGAAGGAAAGAAAGAAAGAAAGAAAGAAAGAAAGAAAGAAAGAAAGAAAGAAAGAAAGAAAGAAAGAAAGAAAGAAAGAAAGAAAGAAAGAAAGAAAGATAGACAGACCAGATCAGATCAGATCAGATTATAGTTGCTTAATTTCTGTGTATAAAGAAACACTTATTGGCTAGAAAAGGATTTAATTGTGAACCTTTTCCTGCAGACTGCAGTGGTTCTATTCAGATACAGATTTACCCACTTCAGGGATGTTCAGATCTCTGTTTTTTTTTTCAGAAGGTTCTCCATGTAATCAGAATTTGGCCTCTTTACCCCACTGTAGTCAATGTTTACTTGGATTAAATAAACACAAAGTAAATAACGAGGAGAGATAAAATGAATAGTTCCTCAGGTTTTTACCGGCTGAAATCTGTCAGAAATTTATTTTTTAAATATTTCCATGTAGGCTATGGAATGAAATTATTATCCTGTTGTTGGATTTTTTTTCTCATTTTACATTAACGATGCCGAAACTAGAATGCAAGGACACTCCTGGGATCTGTGATGAATGAATGGAAGGGCACAAAGTCCTAAATTAATCTTTAAAAAAAGGATGCAATATTACATGTTACAGGGTTGCCAGGAACATTTGACTTTTTAAAGCTTTCCCCTAACTTTATTGTGAAAGATTTACACGATTTGAAGAGAAACCAAACATGTGTTTTAATTACTTGCAGAATAAATATTTCAATATTTCATAAAGGCATAATGCGTAGTTGTCATTTTTGTGGAAATCTGAATTATTTACTTGGTTTAAATGGAATATTCTTGCGTTGCTAAACCGTTTGTTAGAACCTAAATCCACCCTTGACCTGAACCAAATGCTTGTTTGTTTTGTCTGTGCGTTGGAATGTTTTGCAAGTGCAGCTGTCGTGGTTTATGAACCACGGTTAATGGCTTAGTGTTGAATGTGACCTGCATTGTTACCTCCAATTCAAACAGTCAATATTAAAGCAATCCAGAAATTTTTGAGGTGTCTTAACTAAGCTATTGTACTGCAAGACTAGTTTCTAATGGTCTTCTCTCTGGTAACTTTCAGGCAAGTGGAAGAAAGTTTGGAATTGTAAATGTGCACACTGTATGGCCCATCAAGTCACTTCGTTTCTCAGTTTGTGGAATGCTTGTGTATTTCAGAACTTCTCCAGATTGCTGGCATTAGTCCGCACGGCAACGCTTTAGGGGCATCCATGCAGCAGCAGGTGAATCAACAGATGCCTCCAGAAAAACGAGGAGGCGAAGTATTAGATTCTGCCCATGATGACATCAAGCTCGAAAAAAGCAATATTCTGCTGCTTGGACCAACTGGCTCAGGTGTGTAAGCCCTGTCAGATCGTAAATCAAATTTAGAAAGTATTGTGCAAAATGCAATAGGTTAACAAATATGGTAGTTTCATAAATGTACTAGAGTTATACAGTATTACTTGAATAATAATTGCATTAGTTAACTTTACATAGAATTGTAAATAGTTATTGTTAAAATGATACACTTTTTTCTTTTTCTTTTAAAAACATTGTATCTATGGGGTTTCTTTTTCTTTCACGATGTATATAGTATATTTTGTGTTGTTTTGTTTTGTTTACTGTTTTTTAAAGCAGTAAAAGAATGAATAAAAAACATACAAAGTTTGAAGCACATTTAGTTGAAAGCACATAAATACACATGCATTTATTTATGTACATAAACATTTATGTACATTTAATAAAGTAAATGAAGTTTGAATAAATTGGCAAAAAGGAACAGAAGCTATCATGTAGCATGAGTGGATCAGCTGTCCCTGATGCTACTCAGTTGGCCTTATGGATATTTGGCAGCAGATTTCTTTTTTTAAAAAAAGCATAAAGTTCTGTGCAGCTTCCTGCATCCCTATCTCTGCTGCTGGACAGACTCCCTCCCCAATCACAGGAAACAATTGGAAAGCTCCAGTCCACTGTACCTACAATGATATCATTAGCCCACACAGACACTTTCCCACTATGCTCTGAAAAAAATAAATACCTTCCAAACTGAACAAAATTCTTTTTTAGCCCAAAATACAGGATTTTTTTTATTTCTGCTGCTTGAATAGTTCAGCTTAGTTTGATGATTTTATGATCATGCAGTTTGGCTTTTAAATAATAGCCACCTCTGTTTCCCTGCGTTTCTCTGCCTATAAATCATACCATCTCTTTTGCAGCTTTCTAAACACCTCTTGTTCCAGGAATCCAATTAGGATTTGCTCCTCTAAAAGCTAATTTGGATTTAATACAAAGAGCCCATAAGCCTTGTAATGAGGGCCCTTCATATTTATTGGTCAGTGATAAACAAGATTATCAAGACTGGTCATAGGAGAAAGAAGTCCTCTTGAATACCAGAATCGTAGTGATAACTCAAAATTCAAGTACTTTGATGTGTATTAAGAATATTTACATCTACTGCTGTGTGTGTATGACAAACTTGTATGACAAACTTACATGACAAATCCCTGCAAATTTTGAAAAAGTGTGTGCTATTAACCATGGCAGTGGTTCTCAACTTTTTCTTCAGCACGGATCCTTAAATATCTTTTGTGGCCATGGACCCCCAACACTCAAGATTTAAACCATCACATTGCAGGCCTCCCTGTAATGACATGCCTCCCCCCCAACCAGGGGATCCATGCACCACAGGTTATGAACCACTGTTTTAATGCATTGGGTTTTTTTTTCCAGCTAGAACACTCACACCACCCAACTGGTAATCATTATTTCCATGGCAAAATAAAATGCATTTGAAACTCCAATTCTGTGATTTGCACTAACAGATTTTTTTTAAAAAAATAACGAATAGGTAAAACTCTGCTGGCCCAGACTTTGGCCAAGTGCCTGGATGTTCCTTTTGCAATCTGTGATTGTACCACTTTGACTCAAGCTGGTTATGTTGGAGAAGATATTGAGTCTGTCATTGCAAAGCTGCTGCAGGACGCAAATTACAACGTAGAAAAGGCTCAACAAGGTAAAGCCATTTCCCCTTTCCAAAACGATGTCGTGTTATTATTTTTTTCCCCTTCATTTAGAATTCAGTGTTGCTGCATTCAGTTATTTTCTCCTCCTTGTTACATGCTACTCCCATCATAAAATAGGATTTAGTTGAAAGGAATGAAGTTAATTATTTCAACAGTACCAAAGCATCCCCTGATAGTAATTTTTAGGGAAAGATTAGATTTGTGGGAAAATGAAAAGAATTACACATGCAGCATTGGAGATCTGACCAGCTGGAATTATCCATGTGGCTGATTGAAGGAGCATTGCTCTTACTCTCAAATTGACTTTCTTTTCCTTCCTGACTCAACTACAAATCCAATGGCTCAACAAGATAAAACCATTTCCCGTGCCCTTCCCTCAAAGCATAGCTAAGGGCTGCTCCTTATGTGGAGATTCTCAGTCCTCCAGGTCATGGTTGTCCCAAAAGTGCTTTTTCAAGAGGCAAGTGGACTTCCTTCTTTTTTCTTTAGAGATGTTTCACTTCTCATCCAAGAAGCTTCTTCAGCTCTGAAGAGCTTCTTGGATGAGAAGAGAAAACAGGGTGGATAAAAATGGATGATTATTTTAAAAACAAAATAATTAAAAAGACGGATTTTTTAATTTAAATTAGATTTTTTTTATTTTTATCAAATTTATTTTAATAAAATGCTTTTGGAGTAAAAATCTATAGTTTTCTATTTAAGATACATTCCCAATTTAGTTTATTCAGCATGAAATGGAGCTTAGTTATGTAGCATGAGGCTGTATATTCTGCCATGTTGGGACTGTTCAGTGAGTCAACGGCGGGTCAGAGGAGGAGCCGTTCTGGGACAGAGATGACAATTGCTCTTCAAAAATTATGGTTTAAAATTGGGTTGATTTAAATCAAGACTTTTTACTAGTGATTTAAATCGTGATTTAAATTGACTTGATTTAAATAAAATCCAGTTGCCTCTTGAAAAATGCACCTTTGTGTTGCTCCTTATAACTTTGCTATTATTGAACCAGATATTTTTTTATCTTTGACCACCTCTTTTTATTCCAAGTGTATGTCTCAGGGAGCATTTTCTCCCCTTGTCACTACCATCCTAGAAAAAAAAAACAGGGTACCTTATATGCTAATTGTTTGTGTAATTCAAAAGCTGCCTCTAATTTGCAGGCATTGTTTTCCTGGATGAAGTGGATAAGATTGGCAGCGTTCCAGGCATTCACCAGTTACGGGATGTGGGAGGAGAAGGAGTTCAACAAGTAAGTAACCTTCGCTTTCCCGCCCCGATTGAGAGAAGAACCAGTTTTATTTCCCTGGGAGGTGCAAGACTGAGGCAGAAGTTATTTTCTAAGCCGCCTTCTTAACTCTTTCATGGGCGTTCACACTAAGCATTGATAATGCTTATGGGAGCTCATCACTCCCTTTCTTAACAGGTTCATGCATCTTTGTGTAGGAGAAAATCACACCCTTACCAAAATTGGCAGAGCAAGCTTCTGTACCTTGAGCAAATTCTACACTCACTCCCACTGAAGTTATTACCTAGTTGGGTAATAAAACATCTGGGACCAACTAAGCTCAGAGAGCACAAAAGACTCTATAGTTCAACCCTGAGCTCCACACATTTTCTCCTATTGGAACTCTCTGATTTGCCTCTCAAGACCTGTTGAGGAAACAGAAGGACAGTTGTGTAATTACATTCATTCAGTGCCCGTTTGACGGTTCCCATAGGCCGCAGTTAGTTACTGTTGTAAACTGCCTGAATTTGTTTTTAAGAATGAATGTGTTGCTTAGGCCTCTCCTATTTTTACATAGGGGTTGTTAAAATTACTGGAAGGCACCATTGTGAATGTCCCAGAGAAGAATTCCCGCAAATTACGCGGTGAAACAGTGCAGGTTGATACAACCAACATCCTCTTTGTTGCTTCTGGTGCATTTAATGGTCTGGATAGAATCATCAGCCGGAGGAAAAATGAAAAGGTAAGGAAATTGCATGCTTTAGCTGTATAAAGAAGAGAACTCTGCTAAATATCCTCCAGAGGTCACCATTAAAAGGCAAAGATATCATTCAGTTCAGCTCACAAGGAAAATAGATTTTAGGATCATTGAGTATGGTAGGCAAATTTTCTAAGTCCTGGTTAATTTTGCTCAGTCTTAAGTTAAAATGCAGTGCTGATGCCAGCAATATTTAGAATAGAATAGAATAGAATAACAGATAACAGATAACAGAGTTGGAAGGGACTTTGGAGGTCTTCTAGTCCAACACCCTGCTTAGGCAGTAAACACTACACCATTTCAAACAAATGGTTATCCAGCATCTTCTTAAAAACATCCAGTGTTGGAGCATTCACAACTTCTGGAGGCAAGTTGTTCCACTGGTTAATTTTTCTGTCAGAAAATTTCTCCTTAGCTCTAAGTTGCTTCTCTCCTTGATTAGTTTCCATCCATTGCTTCTTGTCGTGCCTTCAGGAGCTTTGGAGAATAGATTGACTCCCTCTTCTTTGTGGCAGCCCCTGAGATATCACTGCTATCATGTCTCCCCTAATCCTTCTTTTCATTAGACTAGACATACCCAGTTCCTGCAACCGTTCTTCCTATGTTTTGGCCTCCAGTACCCTAATCATCTTTGTTGCTCTTCTTTGCACTCTTTCTAGAGTCTCCACATCTTTTTTACATCGTGGTGACCCAAACGGATAATATTTTTGCAAGGAAACTGATAAATGGGGAAGAGATTTTATATATGAATACACAATTTTGATTATCTTGGTTTGAGGATCATTCAGTATGGGTTAATAGCTCTCCTGTTTTAAATGCAGTGGGAGCTGGAGTTTGTTACGTTCATTTTGGAGACCACCTTTAAAAATGGGATATTGAAGCTTAAAAGACTGTATTTTCACCCACAGATTTATTGTCTAGCATCCAGGTTGCTCTACACAAACTCTACAATGGCCATATTTTAGATTATTGCAGTCTGTTTTGCTAAAAGCATAATGCATTAAATAATTATGTGTAATACCAAAAGTTTTTAATATTTAAATATATATGTCACTTAGGGGGAAAAAATAGATGTTATAAGAACAGGTGAATTAAAGGAGGTGCTGCACCCTTTATGAGGAGAATTAAGTTTTACAGAAACAGTCAAATACAACATTGAAAATGTTTTGCCAACGTTTTAATATTGTACATTAATTGAAACCATCAAGCATCCATTTTTTGTTGCCAAGCATTTTTCCAAGACTACCTTATATCACAAAGAGACAGCAGGACATAACAAAATTGTATACTTTTCATGTGACCAGTTGACACTGTTTGCATAAAATTCTTTTTTAAATTATAAGCTTCCAGTCAGAAATGTCTTCAAGAAGTCCTGATGCCTGGCAGTTTGCATCCAGCACTCTAAATATTTGTTAATCCAATAGAAGAGAATATTCATTAATAACCATGTCCTTTTTAGGAGAAATGCTGTCATTGTCTGGAAGATGAAAGCTATCTTGTTCTTTAATTGCTATAATGACTTCTTTTGGACTAAATTTGTTTACCCAGGGCCTTTAGATGAAAAAAATGGATTCAAATCCTGTTGTGAAGTTTCTGGATAAGCTAGATCCAATTTAGACTGATTTGTTGATCTTATTGAAAGCGCTCTCTTTAAACTTCTCATGAAAAAATAGAGGAATGACAACAATTAAACTTCAGTTTTACAAACCAAATAGGGGGAAACATTGTATATAACATTGGGATCTCCGTGTATCTAAATTTACAAATTATATGAAGTGTGTAAACATCCAGTCTAATTTATAAACCAGTGGATTTTATGATTCATTTAAAAAGGCTGACTCCATGTTCTCTTGGTTGCATTCGGTATCTACTGAACTTACATACAATAGAGGTTTTCCTCTATCCCATCAGTTTTGGAAAAGATCCTTAGCTAAAGGGTGATTCCTCCCATATGGGTTTTGTATAATTTCCTGCAATGCATTTTCACACCCCCAGAACGAAACATTAGTTTTAGTTTTGTTATTCGTGACCCGTCAAAAGCGCGGACGGCAAAAGCGCGATCGACAAAATCGCGCCTTTGACGTCATCACAGCGCGACG